CCGACATAGTGTGGAGCCCGTACGGAGCCGAGTGGCGGATGCTGCGGAAAGTGTGCGTGCTGAAGATGCTGAGCAACACCACCCTGGATTCCGTGTACGATCTCCGCCGCAAGGAGATGCGCAAAACGGTGGCGTATCTGTACGAGCGAGCGGGGAGCGCGGTGAACGTGGGGGAGCAGGGGTTTCTGACGGTGATGAACGTGATAACGAATATGATGTGGGGTGGGGCGGTGGAAGGGGCGGAGAGAGAAAGCTTGGGGGCGGAGTTCAGGGAGTTGGTGGCGGAGATGACGCAGCTTTTGGGGAAGCCCAACGTCTCGGACTTTTTTCCCGGGTTGGCCCGCTTCGATTTGCAAGGTGTGGAGAAACAGATGCATGCGCTGGTGCCCCGCTTCGATGAGATATTCGAAAGAATGATCGGTCAACGGTTGACTATTGAATGCGAAGATAGGAAGGACTTTTTGCAGTTTTTGTTGAAGTTGAAGGAGGACGGATATGGTGCTGATTCCAAGACCCCATTCACCATCACCCACGTCAAAGCCCTGCTTATGGTACGTTTCTTCTCATTCACGACTCTCAATTTTTACTCTGCAACTTGCATCATACTAAATTATGAAAATCTTGATGATCATAAATAGGATATGGTTATCGGTGGGACCGACACTTCTTCCAACACGATTGAGTTTGCCATGGCAGAAATATTGCATAAGCCAGAAGTCATGGAGAAAATCCAAGAGGAATTGACAATTGTGGTTGGGAAAGATAACATGGTAGAAGAATCTCACATTCATAACTTGTCTTACTTGCAAGCGGTGATGAAAGAAACTCTTCGATTGCATCCTACACTTCCACTTCTAGTCCCTCATTGTCCTAGTCAAACTATCACTGTGGCAGGCTACACAATTCCAAAGGGATCTCGCGTGTTTGTGAATGCATGGGCTATTCATAGAGACCCTTCACTTTGGGAGAAACCATTGGAGTTTGATCCTACAAGATTCTTGGATACAAAATGGGATTTCAGTGGCAAGGACTTCAATTATTTTCCCTTTGGATCTGGAAGAAGAATTTGTGCAGGAATACCAATGGCTGAAAGGACTGTTTTGTATTTTATTGCCACACTTCTACACTTATTTGATTGGACAATACCCCAAAATGAAAAGTTGGACTTGTCCGAAAAATTTGGTATTGTTCTAAAAAAGAAAACACCATTAGTTGCGATTCCCACCCCACGGATCTCCATTCCTGAATTTTATAAATAAAGTCATATATATATACTAATATACAATTTT